TTTCTCAAATCTTATCTGGTTGTAAGATTCATCGCTATTGAGAACATCATTGTTCGGAATTTGCTCGACGTCTCATTTTATAGCTAGCAAACACGTCTACCACCAAGTAAGTTGGACAGATGGCAAGTGTCTATTCGAGAACGACGTGGAGGGTTGCTACCGCTAAAGCGTCACCTACTATTAATCTCGGCTATTGTTCATTATGGATGGTATAGAGGGAGTGTTGGAAAATCTGCTGCAAAGGGGCCAATGTTTCAACTTTTTAGCGAAAATGTTAATGTTTCTGTCTATGCCTGTACCAAATTAAATCGTACATTCCATCGATGGTCCCAGATTAGGTACAGGGCTGGTACCTCTCCAGAATGTGCAGCTAACTCCAAGGAATGATATTTCGAAATATTCTTTCGTAAATTCCGCTGGCTCAGAGGATTTTAGGAAGGGATGTTGTCGATAGCAAAAGCTTTCCTGACCGAAAGGGCTGTTTGTAGAATTTCTGGCTGCGCACTCAGCGCGCACACTTGAGGTCGTGGCCTCTCATCAGTCACGCAGTGTCAAACCACAAGCACCTCTACCTTGAAGATGAACGAAAAGAAACAAAAGCATATAAGGAATAACGAAGAAGGTAAGAGGCCATGAAGGTCAGCATATTACAGAAGGAGTTCGGTTTAACATAAAAATTTTAGAACAGTTGAACTTAAAGAAGGGGGGGGGGGGGGGGGGGGGNGGGGGGGGGGGGAGGGGAGACCACAGTTCTGAAGAATTATATACTTCAAGGAGGGTCTTAGAAATTTATTTCGGCACCGAACAGATTAATATCTAGCGGTGGTCAACACTTTCGATACTGAGATTCTCGAAGAAATCGCTCTGAAGAACGTCAAGATTTCTGAACAGCTTGAACGCGTCAGCTTCGAAACACACTGAGCCTTCAACATCTTTCGATTGTCAAGTGCAATCAACACCCCTATTAATCGTACAAGCGAGACGAAGTCAAAACCAGAGCCCCACTGCTACTTGCTCTCGAAATTAAATCAAGGTTGCGAAGTTTCATGCTCACGAAAATCGGTGAAAATTTTGAAAGGAGCCTTAATAAATAATTTTTTTTACATTACTAACTTTTGCGGTAGCCAAGCCGTGGTAGATCTGCTGGATGAAGAAGTACAATGGAAACAGGCTGGCACTTGTCGAAATTGCAATAAGTCCGAATTACGCCCTAACTATGAAAAAGAACTTTTCACGCATGACATCTGCCACCTGCCAGTTGTGATCCCGTCTTTCGAAAGCATATTTTCCAAACATGAACGTCCTAGATGTGAAGGAACAATTTTTGTGCACGCTGTTCGCCCGATATTCGAGTCTACACCTGACACCTACCATTATTGCTCCCATCTTGCCGAATGCATACCTTGCGTGTTTGACTATTCATGCAGTCTAACTAACTAACTAACTGCCTTTCCTGAAGGGAAAGGCAGTTTGCCATCTTTGTTGGCGTTCAGCCATATATTTTGTCACAGTTTGGCATGCAATTTTGCGTCGCCAAGCCAAAACGGAAACTGCCACTCCAGGATGAATGGCAGCTATTCATGGTAGAATGACAGTTGTTTCCCTGTTCTATCATTTTATTTTCGTTTCTTTCAGCTGGTGTATACCTTTTGCGTATAGACAGATTCTGTTCAATGTTCTCTTTTATATCAGTGAATTTTTCGAACAATCGGTTTATAACCTTTGCAGGATGGTGAATGAAAAATGAATGAATAAGATTGAAAAGGAGAAAAAAGGGAAAGTGAAGGGAAACACTTTGAGAGGGCTATTTAAGGACTTTTTCTTAAATGAGCACTACGTCTGTGATAATCATATGTTTAGCTTCTTCATCATGTAACCATCATTCTTCACCATTTTTGCCCTTGATCACTCAAGTGGCAACATTGAGTAACGACACTGAATATTGAAGAACTACTAGGTGTGTCATCATCACTTTGAGCAAGTCCTCGACAGACTTTACAGAGTAGTGAATGCGTTTTCTCATAAGGTTCATTCATTCTATCCTATCATTGCAGAAGTACACCTATTCGGTGTCATGTCTTTGCACCATTCAATTGCACAGGCGACCTTTTGCTTCAAAGC